GCCTGACACAAAACTTAACCTGATCGCTTTCCGCCCACAGCAAAGTTTATATTTAGTATCCAATCAAAATGTCGCAGGAGAAATTTAAATTTCACACAACGACAATAACAATCTAATTATAGCATAGGCGGCCCACTAAACGGCTGAATTTAAATTAAAACTGCAATGAACTTATAAAATTAACAAAAATAATCACAAATTAGCTAAATATATTGCAAATGTAGCTTATATTAAATCGCCACCCGATTGCTCTCTCCTCCGCAGAGGTTTCAGTGACTACAATGAGCTTTACATGGCGCTTGCCGTATTTATCAACAGTGACGTATAATTATAAAGTATATATATATATATTAAGTATACTTTATAACTATACGTCAGTCGATAGTGCAATCTGATGGCGATTTAATATAAGCTACATTTGCAATATATTTCGCTAATTGGCGATTATTTTCTAATTTTACTGCAGTTTTAATTTAAATTCAGCCGTTTAGTGGGCCGGCTATAATTGTAGTTGTGATCGTTATAAAATATATCAACAACAATAGTATAATCTAATTAGCACCAGCCAATCAAATGACAGATTTAAAAAATCGTTTGTCTAATTGGCCAATCAGCGCTCAGTCCAGATTCTGGACTGAATAACCAGGCAAAATGCCGCTTTTGTGTCAGGCCGTACTTTTCTCTTCGCCCGCGATCAGGCGTGCCTGTGCCCTAAAAAGTACGGCCTGATACTCAGGTTATATTTAGCTAAGCCCTGTTTACACTACGCTCAATTTTTGGTACCGTACCACTTTTTGGTTCTTGGACTACTTACCTAACCAAAAAAGTGGTACCAATTTTATCCGTGCCGTACCAAAAATTGAGCGTAGTGTAAACGGGGCTTAAAGCTATTTTCCTATGGTGAAAACTCTTGTCAGTAGAATTTTGATGGTTCTCTCCTGCATGTGCACATGTTTAATTTCTCTGGATACCTCAGTTTCCCTCTCACCTAAAACAAACCTTTTAGGTCTCAGCTGATGAGCTTATGATTAGGCTAGATCGAGCGACCACACCCTGTGTCATAAACATTGAATAGATCATCATCATTGAGTTTGAAATGATTTATTACTAACAATACACAATCTAACTCATTTTAGACTGCCCGCTGTCTCAAAACCGATCAGTTTGAAGGCAAACAGTAGAGAAAGGACTCGAAGAGACGTCAAGCAGTCGGAAGTAAAATGACAAAGGACACATGTGGACCATCAGCAGCGTTATAGACCTTAACTCGATTCCTTTGCTAACCATCAGAATTCATGCCAGTTCGCGTTTGTGACAAATTTGGAAGAAATTGTTATTCCCCCAATGAGATGTCAAGTCACACTAGAGACAATAATCAATGCACAACAGTGACAAAACTACAGTCTTGACAGTGATGACTAATCTGTGTTGTAGACTTTAACTCGTTCATTTGCAAACTATGAGAATTGATCAACAGCTTTCCGTTTGTTCCAAATTTGGAAGATTGTTAAGTCACAACAGATGTTGCACCAGATACCATATTCAATACACATCGGCCACAGTTTTGACAGTGATGGAACCCCAAAGGAAGATATAACCCATCATCGTCGGATTCTATTCAATGTGCCAAGTTGGGATGCAATAACCTGTCAAACGAAACCACAACCTACAGTACTAAGCCACTAACCATGGGAATGAAGAATGCTTTCTAGTTTGCATAAAGTAGTTGCTCAGGAAAACGCCATCATTACACAAGGTATATATTCTCCTGCAATTTGATGTTGTAAATGCCTTTGCGGGCTTTGCCCACTTGGCTTGTGTAGTTGTAAAGACTGATCACATAGTCAATAGGACAAGAACGTTAGGAAACTTGATCGGTTCATCACATGTATATTGTATTTTGTAAATTGTGTAATATCATGACTGGGTAATTAAACCAACACACTGCTATAGAGCTGCTCCCGATTAATCGATTATTTTTCCACAATCGATTATGCTTAACTTACAGTAATCAGATCATCTATAACACCACACAGCGTGATGTGGGAATGATTAATTGAAAGAAACTGATGTTAATTTCTTTCCGGATTAAAAAAATTGCGACAAGATTGTGATTAAAGTATAAAAAGACAAACCTTAAGGCAAAATTCGTTGATTCAAAACATTGTGGATCAAATTCACTTGCAGCGTTGCAAAGTTTACCATTGTTTGATCAGGTTTATTAGATGAATTTATTAACAAACCGATCATGCATAAGAGTCTGAGTCTTGCAAATTTACTTAGGAGTGTCAAAAGTAAACAACTAAATCTTGTGTGAAGTGTAAGAGGGCGAGAAAGTGCGCAATCTATAATTGTGATTTAAATCGGATTTAAAACGTGTATACTGATTGGTGCAACCCCCAAAATTTAGTAAACAGTTCACTTTACAAACCTGTCAAACCACCATTGAGCATGTCATATTCAAATTGATTATCAAAACTATTAATCAATATTAATCGATTGTTGACAACGATTAATCGATTGCAAAAATTAATCGATGGGAGCAGCTTTACACTGCTATTGGTTGGTTGGGCAAAAAACAATGGTAATTGACTGATTGTGCAACAATCGGAAATTATCAATTACCGATTATTTGTGCCATAATCTACCCGATACCGATTTTGTAATGACGTCATAATATCAGTCTACCGAGCAATGGTGACGTCATTCATGTCGTTTTTAACAATAATTTCCAATGTAAAATGTTACTGCAACCGAAGAATCGTTAATAAATAGCACACTTCACACATTAACCCATTGAGTGGCAGCACTCTCCCCCTGACGAATAAAATCGTCTGGCATTAGACAGAGTAAACTAATAAGGTAGGGTGCATCTGGGTGCATTGCCACTTCAAGGGTTAATTTAATATATTGAGTTAAAATTCAACATGTATCAACGTTCAATGCATATCATTTTTTAATTAATTTAAAGTATGATCACATGGAAGGGGCCTTTCAACAATTAGTCAATTATGTCACCATCAAGTGGGGGGGGGGGGGGCTACCTAATTGGATGATACTGTAGTTCATATACCTAAGCTATATCTTCGAATGTTTCTATTAATTTGCAGGCTAGTATGTACTGGTACTGCATATGATGAAAATAATTATTTTCTTCTGAAATTAATTATTTCTATTTATTATTAATTCTCACTATGGTAATTCTCGATTGAAGCCGCCACATCATTAAATACTTTTTATTTCTTCCATTTCAGATTCTTGCTGGTCGTGCTCAAAAGAAAGTGGGGCCACAGATGCTGGTCATGTTTTTAAAGTATGGGGGACCACTATGAGGACCAAAATTTTAACAGTGAAGGCTAGTGGTGGTTGTGGATACTATTGATACACAATGTACTTTAATGGATTATTGTAAACATTTATGGATTGTTATGGATATTTATTACCATCAACATTTGCAGACAGATGTATCTCTATATTAATGGTTACCCACAGATGTTGACATACCTCGATAATGGAGCTGCACTACTGTTAAAATGACGTCTGCCTCAAGGTACAGGGTTTCATTGTTAGCCTACTATTAGGCAGTAGTTAGTACCCATACTCCAGTTTGCATGTGTTCGGTGAAGTATGAAATATGATTTTCTAATCAGAGCATGCATGCTTACAAAGACTTTTCGTCCATTTTTAGCGACTTTTGCCATTGTTCATAAATGGGCAAAAAAAAAGCAAAAAAGTAAGGCTATAGCCGTAACTTTTCGTCCATTTTTAGCGACTTTTGCCATTGTTCATAAATGGGCAAAAAACAGCAAAAAAGCAAGGCTATGGCCTTAATTTTTCGTCCATTTTTAGCGACTTTTGCCATTTTTCCTAAGTGAGCAAAAAACAGCAAAAAAGTAAGGCTATAGCCTTAATTTTTCGTCCATTTTTAGCCGATTTTTCAATTTTTGAAAAAGAGGCAAAAAACAGCAAAAGAGTAAAGCTTAAGCCTTTAGCCTTTTGCCATTTTTCATAAATGGGCAAAAAAAAGCAAAAAAGTAAGGCTATAGCCTTAATTTTTCGTCCATTTTTAGCGACTTTTGCCATTTTTCCTAAGTGGGCAAAAAACAGCAAAAAAGTAAGGCTATAACTTTACTTTTTGTCCATTTTTAGCGACTTTTGCCATTTTTCATAAATGGGCAAAAAACAGCAAAAAAGTAAGGCTATAGCCTTAACTTTTCGTCCATTTTTAGCCGATTTTTCAAGTTTTGAAAAAGAGGCAAAAAACAGCAAAAGAGTAAAGCTATAGCCTTTACTTTTCGTCCATTTTTAGCGACTTTTGCCATTTTTCATAAATGGGCAAAAAACAGCAAAAAGTAAGGCTATACCTTAACTTTTCGTTAAATTAACTAATTAACCCATCGAGTGATGCCACTCAATGGGTTAATTTAATCAGTTAACACTGATTTGCTTCTATGCCGCACAAATATAAAATAGATCCTGACTCTTTCAGATTATATTTGTGACGTTGTCTGTGAGTGTGTCCACACTCGGCATGCTAGAAAGTTTGCTTGAATTGAACCAACTACAGTTTTTGCACTGCCAGATGAACACCAAAATATATTAATTAAAAAGTCATGAAAAAGCTATACTTTAGCTCAAAATTTATTTTGTTTTGTGCTTTATTGTTCAGGTATTATGCAAGGCCTACATTGATTTTGAAATCAGTCAGGAAGAATTTCAAAAAACAAGGGATCTTTATGAGCGACTACTCGAGAGAACACAACACGTCAAAGTAAGTTTGATTACAGCAGGGATCCTGAACTAAACTAAATATAATTATTTCACTTAGTTGGACTTTTTGTGGCACATACTTTCATTTTGGGGACCAGGGTTAGATTTCTGCAATATACAGTACAATTGTAGGACTAATCATTTCTCGTCAGTTGCATGTAAGAAGAGTGCTTCCAATTTTCCAATTTGACTATTCTAGCAGGTTTTCTTTGGGTACTTTTGGTACCTCCTACAGTAACACTGGCCCACTAAGGAGTTGTCTTACTTAACTTCTAGGGAGATACTACAGTAACTGATAAAGTAGGTTAGGGAGCGGTCATTATTTATGGTGGGGGGTGGCACTGGCACCGAAGAGAAATGTTTTTAGTGCTAAAAATTTTGCTGACCCAACCATTAAAAAGTAAACTATTTGATTACCCAACCTCAAATATCAATTAAAAAAGAAATACCCACCCCTGGTCAAAAACATTACAAAAAGATACCATTCAGTTGTCACACAAGTCCCTTACCACTTCTGTGACATAGTTTGATAACGGATTGTGAAATTTTCCGCAGTCTAAAGTGTCACGTTGTCTGCACATGTACTTTCTTTGGAAGTTTTGGAGACACCATTTGTCTCCGAACAAATCTGGTTGATTCACATATTGTATTGACATATGACTGTTGACATTGCTTTTTAGTCTCCAATATTTCAGTGAGTTATGCTTTGGATATGACAATAAATTTTTATTACCCAACCCTTGAGTTGTTTTGTTTTTCATTTACCCAACCTTTTACTCACTCAAAATTTTGTTTACCCAACCATTTTCTCTTCGGTGCCACCCCCCACCGTAAATAATGACCGCTCCCTTAGGTGTGCTCTTGTAGTATTAGTAGTAACACTGGAACAGCAAGAGATAGCTCTTAGACTCTACTGTATCTAATAACTGATAGAACTATCTAGTATAATTGATGTACTGTAACTAGACCTCTCATGAATATTCTTTTTGTTTTTTTCATAGGTATGGATCAGTTATGCTCAATTTGAATTGACAACAGACTTGGATGATCGTATTTCCCAAACCAGGTACTGTACTTTTTATTTGACAATATTGATTGAAACATTGCAAATTTAAGATTGCCCCCCTTTGGCCCTAGGATTGCCTGTGGTCCGCCCTTTGCAATTGACCAAAAATTTTCTACACATATTTTTATCAGTGGAAACTAATTAGCCATTTCTCAATCTAGCAAAGGACTGGGTCTAGTTGATGGTTGGAGGGACAAGAAGTTATAGTGAGCGAGCTAAATATATATTAAAAGATGCATTATTATAATTGTTGCGTTTGAGGCTGCCTTTAGGAATGTAGGAAAACTTCCTAGATGCCATATTCGGCATATTGTTTATTTTTGTCCTTCCAAACAAGCGACTAGACCCAGTCCTCTGCTCGATTGGGAAATGGCTAGCTAATTGTTTTGATGAAAGAAATGTTTTTCAACAATTTTCAGAAAATTTCGAGTAGGTTGGGGCATTATTTGAATTTTTTCCCAAAAAATCCTGTGGCCCCCTTTTTAAACTTTTTTTTACCCTATTGGACAATAGGGTAAAAACGTTTTCTTTCGTCAAAACAATTACTCTCAATTCATAAGAACTTGGCCTTGACCTCCATAGCAATGTTGTCCTTGTCTTAGTGGTAAAGTACGAATGCAGTTGGTCTTTGAAAATGAACTTAGTGGTTTGGCTGTCAAAACTCTACATCCAAATCACGTTATAAGTTAGGCTAGTAGCATCTTTGTTCAATGGAATGGCTTCATTTCATCATTTTCTACTCATGTTGCAGGAATGTGTACGGACGTGCTAACCGTGAGCTAAAAACCGCTGAAGATAAGGAAGAAAGACTCATGTTATTGGAATCATGGAAGCAGTTTGAAGTAAGTGATATATATCTTTTTCATGCTTTCTCTTAAGGCCCATTTACACGATACGATTAGTTGTATACGATTGTCATTCTGACGAATGGAAACGAGTGCTAATGCCACGTTATTGCTCATTCGCTAATGGCGAAATTTGAAATGTGACGTTTGTACGCGTGTTTATTCGATCACATACGCCAGGGTACGAATCGTATACAACTAATCGTACCGTGTAAATGGGCCTTTATTTTGACAATATGCCTCTCATCCCCCTTTAAGATTTTCAAACCTTGGTTAATATTACTTAAAGTGCGAATAACCCCAAATATCATCTTTTGTACAGTATGTGTTATTTAAAGCACGCGTAGGAGTGTTTTATCACTCCTACGCGTGCTTTAAATGGCTTAAAAAACGACTCATCTTATACGAGTTCATTGACGAAGTAATTTTTAAAATAAACTTTGTCTAAACCGAGAAAATCAAAGCTAAAGTTTATGTAAATTAACATGATTTTTTATCACATATTTTTATATGTGACACGACATGCTGTGTTTTGCTCCTGAATTATTGAGTTTTTTAAGTGTATTTAGGTCATTCGAGGAGGAAATGTAATATTATCTTTAAAACAAAAAATCCCATCTTGATCAAATTTTTCACTGTCAAAGGTTCCGGATATGATGTCATTAGGTGAATTGCAAATTAGTTTTCCTTTGTTTTTTGTACCAAAAATTTACCTAATGACATCATATCCGGAAACTTTGACAGTGAAAAAGTTGATTAAGACGAGGTTTTTTGCTATAAAGATACATTACATGTCTTCTTAGATATTACACATACCAAAAATTATATTTGGGGTTAGTCGCACTTTAAAATCATTGTTTTGATGAAAGACGACGTTTTTCGCCACTTACCGAACATTTGGAGTAGTTTGAGATAAAATATGAACCTTTGGAAAATAAATCGAAGACGATAGGGGGGAGACCACATGGAATCCACTTGTATTTGAGCAAAACGTCTAACATATTTCTTCATGGGCGTATGGGCCTAATCTTGTTTGGGGGCACAGTATAGTTTGCTCGAACAGGCAAACTGAATATTAACATCCCCAAAATTGTTGGCGGGGGGGGAGGTCACCAAAAAAAATTTTCCGAATATACCAAAAAAAAATTTCCGGACATGCCAAATACTTTTATACAAACATGCGAAAATTTTGCCGCACATATCAGAACATTTTTCCTGACATCACGTAATTTTTGCAAAGATACAAAATTTTTTTCAGGACATATCAAAATTTTTCCGAAATTTTTATGTCTTGCCCGAATTTCGCATTGATTTTTGCCCGACCGTAACGGGGCACGTGCCCCCCCCCCCCGTCCCATACGCCTATGCAATTTCTTATCAGTTGAAAATGATTGTTTTGAGCTGTTTTTTGCCACTTTCCAAAGGCGTGGAGTATTTTGATGCAAAATATGCAAAAGTTAGTCGAAAACCAAGCCGGGTGGATTACAGTATCCTCTTGTGTATTATTAAATTAAGGTTAAAATTTTTTTCTACAGACAACGTCCGGTGATGAGGAATCACTAGAGCTTGTCCAGAAGAAAATGCCACGAAAAGTAAAGAAAAGAAGGAAAATTGAAACAGATGATGGGGTAAGTGGACTAAAGATAACTCATGCAAATACATGGTAGGCTAATATAGACAATTCCCATTATGGACTAATTTTTTTATCTTGGCCAAAAAATTGCATTCCCGGAAAGAACATACTAAAATGAGTGATATTGCAAAGTTTGGTTGCGAAATGTTGTAAAATGCGGAAAATATAGCCTTGCGAAATTCGCAAATTTTGTGTACTTTTCTATTGCGTGGGAAAATTGCTACCACATTTGGGCCGAAAATGGTAGCAATTTCCGCACGCAATACAAAAGTACACAAATTTTGCAAACTTTGCAAGGCTATATTTTCCGTATTTTACAACATTTCGCAACCAAACTTTGCAATTTTACTCATTTTAGTATGCTCTGCAAGGAAAATTTCAAAAGGTACACTTTTTTAAGGACACCCTGTACTGTACTGTACTGTATATGGTGATCAACCTGTACTATATGTCCTTTGCAGTTGGCATATGATCAATTCACCCTTGCGATAATTACGTCATTTGGCCTGGGAGCCTCGCTCTCATGAATCGCGAGCCAATCAGCTTGCGTAATTTACTGATGAGAGCGAGGCTCCAAGACCAAAAAGTATGTGTGACATAATTATCGAAAGGGTGTTTCCTGTAACCATGGATAATAAAATAAATGGATAGGACTCTAGCTGACGTAAGCAAAAACAACCTAGTTGCAATCTGTGACGTCACGCGTATTGCAAAGTTCTCGGCATTTTTGTCGTTTCGCTATACTTTCCGCTTTAAAAGAGTAATATTGAAGCATATACTGGTCTAATTGTTTTAAAAACATGCCTAAGCCACGACAAAGTATTCAAGGTAAATGTTTTTCGTCTTTGTTTTATATTTTTTTACATTTGTAGCTACGAAATTGGCGTCCCCAATTTTAACGAAATTTGGGATGCCTTTTTCACTGTTTAGTGCTTGAAATATTTGCTAAAATTGACTGGGATTACTTAGAGATTTCATCGTAGAATGGCGTAGTTATATTCATTTGCTCTTTGACTAAAATGTTTAGCTGTATTATTGCTAAACATGCCATTTTTGAGAATTTGGTTTTCAACTAGGTTTCAACATCCAATCATGCCATCAGCCCATTGAAAACATTAGGTCACGTCAGCTAGTTTCCTATCCATTTATTATCCATGCTGTAACTATAGGTCCTTTTCAGTTGGCATAAAAATACTTTGCATAACAACATGTGCAGGGCGAGAAATATGCTGTGCTTTCTCTCATTTCCTTTGTTGAAATGATGAAAATCATCTGCCGTACGATAGTGCTTTTCTGATTCGGTTCATTCATTTTTTTAGTCAGATGCAGGATGGGAGGAATTCTATGATTACATATTCCCTGATGATGAAGATAACCTTCCGAACTTTAAACTATTGCAAATGGCTAGACTTTGGAAACAGAACAAAGCTCAGGAATGAACTCAGTACCAAGTGAGTGTGCGTTACTAATGCTCAACTGTCTCTCCAATGTTGCAGTGGCGGACACTAGAGCCACAGCATGGTTAGGTTAAACCTATCTGTATATTGTATATATTTTATTACGATAATATAGGAATACTGTACAATTTTCAAATGTCTGCTTAGTTTGTGTTTATACCTAAATACCTAATATTTATCACCTTGCCCCTAGACAATACGATCAAGCCCCAGCCACACGGTTTTATCATGTTTGTAAAGTGTAAATTTAGTAATAAAAAGTAAAGTTTTTAGCAATAAAAAGTAAGTTAAGCCTATACCCTTAACTTTTCGTCCATTTTCAGCCACTTTTTCCATTTTTCATCAATGACCAAAAAAACAACAAAAAAGTAAGGCTATAATACCCTTTACTTTTCGTCCATTTTTAGCGACTTTTTGCATTTTTCATAAAGCAGCAAAAAATAGCAAAAAAGTAAGCCTATAGCCTTAACTTTTCGTCCATTTTCAGCCACTTTTCTCATTTTTCATAAAGCAGCAAAAAATAGCAAAAAAGTAAGGCTATAATAGCCTTAACTTTTCGTCCATTTTCAGCCACTTATGTTATTTTTCATAAAGCAGCAAGAAATAGCAAAAAAGTAAGCCTATAGCCTTAACTTTTCATCCATTTCCAGCGACGTTTCTAATTTTTCATAAAGCAGCAAAAAATAGCAAAAAAGTAAGCCTATAGCCTTAACTTTTCGTCCATTTCCAGCGACGTTTCTAATTTTTCATAAAGCAGCAAAAAATAGCAAAAAAGTAAGCCTATAGCCTTAACTTTTCGTCCATTTTCAGCCACTTTTCTCATTTTTCATAAAGCAGCAAAAAATAGCAAAAAAGTAAGCCTATAGATAGCCTTAACTTTTCGTCCATTTTCAGCCACTTTTCTGATTTTTCATAAAGCAGCAAAAATTAGCAAAAAAGTAAGCCTATAGCCTTAACTTTTCGTCCATTTTCAGCCACTTTTCTCATCAATGACCAAAAACAAACAAAAAAGTAAGGCTATAATACCCTTTACTTTTCGTCCATTTTTAGCGACTTTTTGCATTTTTCATAAAGCAGCAAAAATAGCAAAAAAGTAAGCCTATAGCCTTAACTTTTCGTCCATTTTCAGCCACTTTTCTCATTTTTCATAAAGCAGCAAAAATAGCAAAAAAGTAAGGCTATAGCCTTAACTTTTCGTCCATTTTCAGCCACTTTTTCCATTTTTCATCAATCACCAAAAAAACAACAAAAAAGTAAGGCTATAATACCCTTTACTTTTCGTCCATTTTTAGCGACTTTTTGCATTTTTCATAAAGCAGCAAAAATAGCAAAAAAGTAAGCCTATAGCCTTAACTTTTCGTCCATTTTCAGCCACTTTTCTCATTTTTCATAAAGCAGCAAAAATTAGCAAAAAAGTAAGCCTATAGCCTTAACTTTTCGTCCATTTTCAGCGACTTTTCTCATTTTTCATAAAGCAGCAAAAATTAGCAAAAAAGTAAGCCTATAGATAGCCTTAACTTTTCGTCCATTTTCAGCCACTTTTCTGATTTTTCATAAAGCAGCAAAAATTAGCAAAAAAGTAAGCCTATAGCCTTAACTTTTCGTCCATTTTCAGCCACTTTTTTCATCAATGACCAAAAACAAACAAAAAAGTAAGGCTATAATACCCTTTACTTTTCGTCCATTTTTAGCGACTTTTTGCATTTTTCATAAAGCAGTCAAAAATAGCAAAAAAGTAAGCCTATAGCCTTAACTTTTCGTCCATTTTCAGCCACTTTTCTCATTTTTCATAAAGCAGCAAAAATAGCAAAAAAGTAAGCCTATAGCCTTAACTTTTCGTCCATTTTCAGCCACTTTTCTCATTTTTCATAAAGCAGCAAAAAAGTAAGCCTATAGCCTTAACTTTTCGTCCATTTTCAGCCACTTTTTCCATTTTTCATCAATGACCAAAAAACAACAAAAAAGTAAGGCTATAATACCCTTTACTTTTCGTCCATTTTTAGCGACTTTTTGCATTTTTCATAAAGCAGCAAAAAATAGCAAAAAAGTAAGTCTATAGCCTTAACTTTTCGTCCATTTTCAGCCACTTTTCTCATTTTTCATAAAGCAGCAAAAATTAGCAAAAAAGTAAGTCTATAGCCTTAACTTTTCGTCCATTTTCAGCCCCTTTTCTCATTTTTCATAAAGCAGCAAAAATTAGCAAAAAAGTAAGGCTATAGCCTTAACTTTTCGTCCATTTTCAGCCATTTTTCTCATTTTTCATAAAGCAGCAAAAATTAGCAAAAAAGTAAGCCTATAGCCTTAACTTTACGTCCATTTTCAGCCACTTTTCTCATTTTTCATAAAGCAACAAAAATTAGCAAAAAAGTAAGCCTATACCCTTAACTTTTCGTCCATTTTCAGCCACTTTTCTCATTTTTCATCAATGACCAAAAAAACAACAAAAAAGTAAGGCTATAATACCCTTTACTTTTCGTCCATTTTTAGCGACTTTTTGCATTTTTCATAAAGCAGCAAAAATAGCAAAAAAGTAAGCCTATAGCCTTAACTTTTCGTCCATTTTCAGCCACTTTTTTCATTTTTCATAAAGCAGCAAAAAATAGCAAAAAAGTAAGCCTATACCCTTAACTTTTCGTCCATTTTCAGCCACTTTTTTCATCAATGACCAAAAACAAACAAAAAAGTAAGGCTATAATACCCTTTACTTTTCGTCCATTTTTAGCGACTTTTTGCATTTTTCATAAAGCAGCAAAAATAGCAAAAAAGTAAGCCTATAGCCTTAACTTTTCGTCGATTTTCAGCGACTTTTCTCATTTTTCATAAAGCAGCAAAAAATAGCAAAAAAGTAAGCCTATAGCCTTAACTTTTCGTCCATTTTCAGGCACTTATCTCATTTTTCATAAAGCAGCAAAAAATAGCAAAAAAGTAAGTCTATAGCCTTAACTTTTCGTCCATTTTCAGCCACTTTTCTCATTTTTAATAAAGCAGCAAAAATTAGCAAAAAAGTAAGCCTATAGCCTTAACTTTTCGTCCATTTTCAGCCACTTTTCTCATTTTTCATAAAGCAGCAAAAATTAGCAAAAAAGTAAGTCTATAGCCTTAACTTTTCGTCCATTTTCAGCCCCTTTTCTCATTTTTCATAAAGCAGCAAAAAATAGCAAAAAAGTAAGCCTATAGATAGCCTTAACTTTTCGTCCATTTTCAGCCACTTTTCTGATTTTTCATAAAGCAGCAAAAATTAGCAAAAAAGTAAGCCTATAGCCTTAACTTTTCGTCCATTTTCAGCCACTTTTCTCATTTTTCATAAAGCAGTAAAAATAGCAAAAAAGTAAGCCTATACCCTTAACTTTTCGTCCATTTTCAGCCACTTTTTCCATTTTTCATCAATGACCAAAAAAACAACAAAAAAGTAAGGCTATAATACCCTTTACTTTTCGTCCATTTTTAGCGACTTTTTGCATTTTTCATAAAGCAGTAAAAATAGCAAAAAAGTAAGCCTATACCCTTTACTTTTCGTCCATTTTCAGCCACTTTTCTCATTTTTCATAAAGCAGTAAAAATAGCAAAAAAGTAAGCCTATACCCTTAACTTTTCGTCCATTTTCAGCCACTTTTCTCATTTTTCATAAAGCAGTAAAAATAGCAAAAAAGTAAGCCTATACCCTTAACTTTTCGTCCATTTTCAGCCACTTTTTTCATCAATGACCAAAAACAAACAAAAAAGTAAGGCTATAATACCCTTTACTTTTCGTCCATTTTTAGCGACTTTTTCATTTTTCATAAAGCAGTAAAAAATAGCAAAAAAGTAAGCTTATACCCTTAACTTTTCGTCCATTTTCAGCCACTTTTTCCATTTTTCATCAATGACCAAAAAAACAACAAAAAAGTAAGGCTATAATACCTTTTACTTTTCGTCCATTTTTAGCGACTTTTTGCATTTTTTATAAAGCAGCAAAAATAGCAAAAAAGTAAGCCTATAGCCTTAACTTTTCGTCCATTTTCAGCCACTTTTCTTATTTTTCATAAAACAGCAAAAAATAGCAAAAAAGTAAGCCTATGGGCTTAACTTTTCGTCCATTTTCAGCCACTTTTCTTATTTTTCATAAAGCAGCAAAAAATAGCAAAAAAGTAAGCCTATAGCCTAAACTTTTCGTCCATTTTCAGCCACTTTTCTCATTTTTCATAAAACAGCAAAAAATAGCAAAAAAGTAAGGCTATAGCCTTAACTTTTCGTCCATTTTCAGCCACTTTTCTCATT